TTCTTCTTCCTCTTCTCAGTCCACCACCTCCCTCTCACCCTCTCGCTACCTGACTTCGCTGCATCAGCAGACTACGAGAGAGCGGGCTTGGTGACATTTGAATCCAGACTCGACATTGGGCTTCAGACATTTGACGAGGGATTATCTGGGACTTGTACCGAAGACTTGGTCTTGACGACATTCCCATCTTCCCCCTCTTCTTCGTCTGATACCCTCCTCTTCGTCTGTGTATGGTCTGGACCTGGCGCATTCTTCCTGTGTGTAGCGCCAGGCCCCTTCACACCTTGTGATGAGGATGATGTATGTTTGGTCTGCGTTGCAACATTGATTGGGCTAGTCATTGGTATTCTAGCATTTCGCTGTGCTGTCTTGTACTACGTGAGAGAGGTCAGTCCCGGTCAGGTCAGGGCTTATATCTAAGTCTTCCACTGCGCTACAAGGTGCCATTTTGTATGTATCAGGATGTACATTGCTTGTTGAGATTCCACTAACACCGAATTGTCCATTCAGTCCTTTTTATCACATTGCGGATCCTTGGCTATACATACATTGCCCAACTGGGCATGTAACAGCAGCCCAAGTGGGGCAAGTGGCAGCAAGCATAGAGCAGCCCAAGAGGGGCAAGTACATAGCAGGCCAAGCGGGGGCAAGAACGGAGCAGCCCCACAGCACACAGCCGCCCAGGTGGGGCAAGTACATACCTGCCCAAGCGGGGCAAATACAGAACACCCTACATAGCAGGCCAAGCGGGGCAAATGCAGAGAAGCATACATAGTAGCCCAAGCCGGTCAAGTACAGAGCAGTGTACATAGCAGCAAAAGCAGGGCAAGTACAAAGCAGTCTATATAGCAGCCCAGACCGGGCAAGCACAGAGCAGCCTATATAGCCACCCAAGCCAGGCAAGGACAGAGCAGCCTACATAGCAGCCCAAGCAGCCCCACCTCGCTCGGATGGAAAGAAGCCCAATAATGCTTTCCGTCGTATGTTCAAATAAAATCGCATAGGAGTCCCGGCTGGGTGGCAAAAAGACCCTGGAACCAGTCTACATAGTATGACTCGCCCCAAAAAGTACAACCCAACCCACTTAGTATCACCCACGCCACATAACACCACCTGAGCACAATACGGTGGAGGATGAGGAGGTGCCAGAGGAGGATGACGGGGAGAAGAAGCAGGACGCGATGGAGGAGGACAAGCTGGCCGAGAAGAAGGGAGGATGGCGGACTCCTCCTCACTCCCTCCTCTGCCACCTCCTCCTCCGTGATCTAAGAGAGAAAGACCATAACAGGAAGGGATCTGAAGAGTGGGAAGGTGAGACGGACAGAATGGACGAACACAAAGGACTGCAATAAACAAAATAAAGGGGATGATGGACAGGAAACGATCGCCAAAAGAAGTACAAATAAAAGAAAGGGTTGATTGAGGGTTATGTAGAAAACGTGTGTGTGTCCACACCATAAGGCCACCTTCCCGCGCTGTGTGTCGTGGGCGTCGCCGCAGCGGGTCCACTTGTTAATAAATTAATAATAACAATAATAAGAATAATAATAATAACAATGAAAGTGCGAGGCCATGGCCCCGATGAGCCCCTTTTTGGCTCTGTTATGCAGCACGTCGGCTGTCCTAAGTGAAGGCAGGCTCGACGAGGGCCTGAGGGCCCCTATTTCGGTCACCACGCAACTGTGGAAAATTCAGGCAGTTGCGCAGTGCCAGTTGGTTGAAGAACCCAGGCCCAGGCCGCCTGTTTGCATGTATGGAAGGCAGGCCCTGGGCTGGATACGGGATATGGGCCAAACACAGGCCGAGGACAGTTGGGCACAAGTAACCACCACAGGCCCTGGGCCTGATTCATTTGGACTGGGCCTCAGCCTACCGGGGCCTACCGGAAGCTTCTTGGGACAGGCCCAGCGCAGCAGCAGGCAGCCCACTTCCATATAGCAAAGGGCCTGCCTCCGCATTGGACATTCGGGTGCTGGCTGCATGCTGCGCAAGCGCTGCTGCGCTGGAGCTGGCCAGCACTCACGCGCTCACGGGCGAGCTGGAAGGAGCAGGCAGCCATAGCCGAGCTGCGCTGCTGGGAGCTGGGTGTGGCGCAGGGTGGTCCTTGGGTGCATGTGGCATMTGTGTGTTGGGGAACGAGGTTGTGAGTGATACGAGAGACATACCTGGTGCTGGAAGCGTGCGGCATTGGCCGCTATCTGCTCGTACTTCGGGAGAGCTGTTGTCGTCATCTTCGGCATTGTAGTCTAGGCTAGATAGGATCTGCCATCTGTAGCCTGGGCGCCGAGCGCCAGATAGGATATCAACATTGCTTCTTCATTGATGATGATGATGAGACTATTCCAGCATTGTCAATTATGAGCTTTTGGTGTGCTCTTATTTGGTGAGAATCGTGATGCAATTCTGCTGTTGGTTCGAGGTCACGACTATCTGGTCTTATGTGTATGATGCTGTTTGATTGCTGAAGTTCGCTATGCTCATCTTCCTTGCAAAAGAATGAACCACAACCAATCCTCCCCTTGCTGCCAGCCACTCAAGAAGTCCACCATAGCCATCTCTCTCTCTCTCTCTCTCTCTCTCTCTCTCTCTCTCTCTCTCTCTCTCTCTCTCTCTCTCTCTCTCTCCCCCTCTCCTGATGTGTGTGTGTTGTAGACTGTTGCCACAACAACTCCTTTTCCACCCAGATAAGCAGATCCAAAATTGAAGCAGCTTCACTTCGATAGCAAGCAACATGAAGCACGCTAAGATGAGCAGAGCCAAAATTGAAGCAGCTTTACCTGTATAGCAAACAATATGAAGCACAGTACTTAAATGACTCGTTGCAATTTGGGAGTCCTTTGGGACATCTGTCAAAATTTGGTGAGTTTCGGAAGAATACAGAGAAGATTACCATGGCCCCTGCACATTGGTGATTTGTGCAAAATTGCAAATCGAGAAACGGTCCAAAATTTTCCAAAAAGAAATCAAAAGTGTGGGACCTGAAAAAAAACATATCCGAACTCGGAGATGACTTCACAAAACAATTTTTTCAATTTTTTTGGAAATTTTGACCCCTTTACTTCTTTACTTTGATCTATGATGACTCTCACAATCCCCTGAAGGAAAATTGGAAGCTTAGAGCAGGCCAGTCTACAGCTGGACAATCTCTTGCTGTAGACAGCATCATGCTTTTTCTTCTATCCTCACTCTTTTCCTTCATCTTTACTTCCCCTACCCTAACTCTCCCCAAACTCTCCCCAACTGTCCTTTGTTCCCTTTCTCCCCAGCCCAAACTTTCTGTGGCCAGACAGGAAACACAACCTCTCAAGTGGTTTGCATGTCAAGATGGAATGGGCTGGACACTTGCTTAAACCACCTGTAAATGTGAGCCTCATTTGTACGAGGCGGATTCGCACCGCGCCAGCGCACTGTTTTTGTTTTAGTTTTGGATGGCACCACCAGCCATTTCGGTCCGGTTGGCCCAACCAAGCCTCCGGTATTTTTTGGAGAGGCTCGTGATTCTCAACTGGGCTGGGGCCATGTACTGGTGGTTGAAGATGGAGTTACACTGTGACAGACACCTCTATCATAGGGCTAGCAATTGGGGCTCTCTGGGACTTTTGCTTAATGATGTATAAGTTCAGCTTGTTTTGCTTTGCTTGCCGGAGAGAGATGAGCCGGACTGACACTCCACGGAATGGATTGGAGCAACGGCCCTCCGGTCACTTTTTAAAAATTAAAGAAAAGTGAAACAAAGACAAGGTGTATGTTTGCTGCTTCCAGATATGTACTGTGACTACCGTCCTTTCGACTTTTACACTGTGCAAAAGAAAGCAGGTGCAAGAACCAGAACTCACAAGCATAATGACAGCTAATATGTCGTCCACGGGAACATCAATGTTGCCGAAACTGTTCAGAAACAATACAGACAAAAACAAGAATGAGCGAAGAAATTACCAACTGGCCTAGCTCAGTGGTGAAACACCGACATGAGCTCGAATTCCTTTTCTTTCTTCTTCCTTTTTTCTTTTGTCAGATGAGTTAAAAAAAAAAAAACTCTGAATTCACCTGGGGACCGGTTAGTTCAACGATGATATCTCAAGGCCGTCGCCATTAAAAAAAAAAAAAAAAAAAAAAAGCACATCTGATTGTTCAATCTTTTGCAGATGGGCTACCTGAAACAGCAGCAGTCACCAAGACCCCTCCAGTGGAAAGGGGGAAACTCTTCTAGATAAGGGGGGAAAAGAGCTTTTGAAATTGAAGAGGCAGCTGTCAGATGGTGTGTACAACACGCAGCACAGGCAAATGCGGATCGTCACCATGCAACAATGTCTTCCTCGCATACAGACACAGATTATAGATAATATTGAGATGCAGCAGTCTTTGGGTTGTAGCTTTTCGGCAGAGTCCAAATTCTCATGTAAAAAAAATAATAATAATAATAAAATTAAAAAAAAAAAAAAAAAAAAAAAAATCTCACGTCAAAAGCCAGGCTGTAGGGTCTTAGGGACACACCTTCTTTTCGTTTTTTTAAGAGGTCCTAATGGGCCCAGCTACATATCCATTCTGGGGAGCATCAGTCTGGTTCCTTTTTCTTTTCATTTTTTTTTTGTTTCTTAACCAAACAGAACCTTGCGGTTCTGGCTTCTTTCCATTCTGGGGAGCATCAATCCGGTTCCTGTTCCGCCGGCAGGTCAGAAGACATTACAATGAATCCTCACACACGCTTCTCCCCATTATGGTTGAGAGGCCTGGGTGGACGGCATTGATTACTTCCCGACGGAAGGATGTACCGCCCCACACCCCTGCCTAAGTTAACCTGTTCGACTTACTTTTGAGGTGGGATGCTGAACTGAGTTCCATTTCCCCTATTTGTTGATAGTACCTTACCTAAGGGAGCCCTGACTAGCTTGCTCCTCTCAGCCAGTTGGCTGCCGGCTTTGCTTTAGGTGTTGGAGCTGCTAGTAAGTTTTCATTCTGTACTACAGGCTAAAACCCTACACCCTATTTGTCTCTTTTTCCAGGATGGCCGGAGTGACTTCTGAATTATGTGAAGCGGGGTTCGAGGAGAATGTAGCTGCTCGTGTGTCTGACTGAGAGATTGAATGGGTAGGACTTCTAAAGGATGATGTGGTTGATGTGAGGTCGATGAGGGGGGGAGGGATAGAACTAGTCACGAGTAACTTCACCGTTGAAGTTGGAACTAGGAAAGCCTGGGTGTTGAACCTACTTGGACGTTCTGGATGTCTCTTTTGCGGCTGTTCTCTCCTTCTCAGTCCCAAGCTCTAGAGGGGTGCTGGGAATTTCAGGATTCTTGTCTTTCCCAGAACTGCCTAAGGCTTTAGAGTCACCCATCCCGACAATTCTTTTCAGAAAACAAAAATCAAAAATAAAATTCGGATTAGTGTTCACACCTAGGCTACCAGCCGGGCCGCCCGGGTCACCCTATTTTCTTGGACGGCCCACAAGCGGTTATCGGGTAGCTGAAAATTCAGGAATGAAAATTCTGAAGTGAGAGTTTTGGGTAGTCTGAAAATCCTGAATGGTCCTGAAGTGGTGAAAGGTCCGAAGACCTTGAAAACCACCTGTTTAGGCAGGCTGCATCCTGAACTGGTGAAGGGTGTCCTGAAGTGGTCAAGTGAGAGTTTTGGGCAGTCTGAAAATCCTGAATGGTCCTGAAGTGGTGAAAGGTCCGAAAACCATGAAAACCACCCTTCACCACTTGAGGATGCAGCCTGCCTAAACAGGTGGTTTTCAGGGTCTTCGGAGCTTTCACCACTTCAGGACCATTCAGGATTTTCAGACCTGAATGGTCCTGACTCCTGAAGTGGTGAAAGGTCCGAAGGCCCTGAAAACCACCTGTTTAGGCAGGCTGCATCCTCAAGTGGTGAAGGGGGTCCTGAAGTGGTGATGAAAAATTACGACTGTTGTTAACCTTCTCTCGAAAAAAACTATGTTATGGCAGTTATGCAGAAAACCAAAGTGAACAACTTTTGCCTCAGGGTCACATCGAAATTCTTTAGCAAGTTTACATTAAAATTTTAAACTAAACATTTTTTTTTTTTTTTTTGGCCCGACTGGGCAAGTGGACCCAGGCCACTCTGGTAGCCTAGGTTCACACGCAGAACAACAGTCTAATCAGAATTACATTGTATTGTTTACTCCATCAGAGAGAAGGGTTAAGATGAAGAGCAGATCAGCACTTCGTGTCTGTCGGCATTCGGGGAGGTTGCAGGCAGCGATCACTTTTACCTCACGCCCAAATCAATCAGAAAAAAAAAAAAATGTTTTCTGATCAGATCCTTGCGGATCTGCCCACTAACACCAACACGATTAGCAAGGTAGGAAAACCCGAGTTCACACGCAAGAAGAAAAAAAAAATTGCAAAGGAGCAAGCAGACAAAAATAAACTGCAAAGGAGCGAGAAGCAAAAAAAAAAATGCAAAGGAGCGAGAAGAAAAGAAAAACTCCAAAGGAGCGTCGTTCAGTTTTGCAGGAAAAAAACTAAAAACCGTAGTTTGCAGGCTGCAGACCAACAGATAAATTGTGTGGCTTTATTGGACTGAAGACATGGAATTACTCCACAGACCGTTCTGACACGACTGACAGACCCTTTAGGACTGACAACATTTACTGGACTGACACTAGATCTGACACAGCAGACTATCACAGAACAGACTAACAGACAGAACGAGAACCGCAGACACAGCTTGTGCGCAGGCTCAAGACCCACGGTCAATTGCAGGCAAGGGTCAGAGGGAAAGTCAAACCGTTGACAACCTACTGACAAAAAGCAGACTGACAAACACTCGCTGACCTCTAGACGAACGTTGGACTGACAAAGCTGACAAGCGAGTTCTGACAGACTGACGGACTGAAGTCAGAGGGACAGGTCGCCAGAACGAACTCACTCAATCAAGGTCTTGATTGGAGATTGAGGCCGGTCAAATTTGACCGAAATACAGGAACCTGGCTGACTTACTGTTGGTCCCCACCTAAACTGTATGCTCGCCGCAAGTTCCAATCAATTACCGCAATTGAATTGCCGACAATTTTCTTCCGCAAAACTCGACCCTCAAGCGGTCGTCCAAAATGGTGGTCGACCAAGCAGGCAGGGACTGACTTTGAGGGTTACCGTGCCCTGAGGTCGCCACCAGGCTTATTAGGGTTGACGTCCCAATTAGCACCGGTGTCGGGCGGCCAAAGGCAGTCGGCCCAACGAAATTCGAAAGATTGAGTTGTAGAACTGTTAGGGAGAGGTGCTTGATGGTTTTCTTCTGTCAAACGTGTCGTGAAAAATTAGGGTGCCCAAGTTGACCCCTAATTCCCCCTCGATCGCCCACCAATACTAATCCTTGGATTTTGACAACCAGGAGCGTCACTTCGACTGGTCTTGATGTTCCTTTTTTCTGCCCATTCCGTACCTGTTTCCGTACCAGCTGGCTATTGAACGGGAGATGTGCGCGAGCCTTTGCGCAACATTTTCTACCACAACCAGTTGGTGCGAAAACGAGACCTCAAATTTATCTAATTTAATAATAAAGTGAAAAACGATAAAAATAAATGTGTTAAAATCCGGACCGCCCGACGGCCTTGCCTTCGTCCAGTAGGGCTCCCAGGCGGCCCAGCTAGTTGGGTCCCCCGGTTGGGCGCCGAGTGGGTGGGGGGGGGGTAGGCCTTTTTGGCCAGTGGCGGCCTCCCTGGACATCTGGTGCTTGAAAAAAAAAAATGGACTTTCTAGGAGGGAGGGGCAGGCCTTTTTCGGCGACTGATCCCAGCCGCTGATCTGCGAAGATTGGCGGCTGGGATCAGTCGTTGAAAAACGCCTTGTCCCATCCCCCTGGCGGGCTACGACCCCGCATTCGAATTCGAACGGGGGATTGTCCTCCCCGCGTTCGAAGCCCTGTCCTTGTCATTGAGCTGCTGGCCACCGGGTCACCTTGTCTCACCGATCTCTGAAGGGCAAAAGGGAAGGATAGGTGCCCATTAACCATAATGTTCGTTTCTGCGGATCTGTGCATGGTGGACACCCACGCACTGAAGGAATCATTAAAGTTCATTTTCTGCAGACAACAGTCCATGAATTTTTTTTTTTATTTTTTTTTTTTAATTTTTTTTACAAGAAACAGCCCGAGTGAATGCTAGGGGCGCTGATAAGAGCAGACGCCTCTAGCAAGCTCGGGGAGGCTCCATCTATTGGTGGGGAGCAACACCTGCTGGAAAATGGGTCCAGCGTCCCTATGAACAATCTGAAATCATATGAACATGCCACGTGTCCATCCTACTTGAAGGCGAGAAAAGCTTATGCACCGACACGCTGGCACGCAACGTTAGCCTAATGAGCAGCGTCAATTACCCTCAACCAAGGGAACGACTGCCCATCACTCTGTAAGATCATATCCCTACTCAGAAACCCCATCGTGTAGTCAAATCTTGCAGCACCATGAGGAGGGGAGGAGACAATCCAAATAGGGAAGCTATCAGTAGAGACGCACACGTAGCAGAACCCCGGAACCCCCACTGCACCTCCTTGCCTGCCACGTGGCGAATCCTAGTATTTTTTACCACCGGGATATGACCCCCCGGGTAGCTTAGCAAACTCGAAATCATATAGGCATGCCACGTGGCCACCCCGATTTAAACGCACAAATTCGTCTGAGCGGCAACGCAGGCACATATGTATAACCAGTGAACAGCATTGATTACCCTCAATGAGGGGATTGACTGCCCACCCATGCACGAATTCATACCCTACCCAGAAATACTCATCAACAACCCAAAAACCATACATCGCCATGAGTAGAAGGGGCAATCTGAGCAGAACTCACTAAAAGCTAAAACCTAAAGGCCACGTGGCGGAACCCTAACGAGTCACACACAAAGAAATCCATAGCGCCGCTTCCCTCGGCACTTCCTGTCCTCGCCACCTGACAAGAAACCGGACATCACGTTTGCAGGCCCTAATGACTCATGCAGTGTTGGCCCACGGCTAGAGCTGCCCTATTACCATGTGGCAACTAATCAGATGTGGTAAGGCAATCCAATATCTATCCCACCCCTTCGCGCACCCATCCCACCCCTAGCTCTCCCCCACACCCGTCCAATATGCTGAACGAGCCGTTCAAACAGCCCTGTCGCCCTCCCCCCGGGTCATCAACACGATCACAAAGGAGAAAGGACACCGGGGGAGAGAAGGGGAAGGGGGAGAGAGCTGAAACCCCCACCATACTTACCACACCGCCGTTGTTGGTATTATTGATGTCGTTTTTGTTGCTGCTGTTGTTGTAGTTTTTGTTGTTGTAGTCCGGCGTGCACAAACTCACAATTTCCATACTTGTCCAGTGTCATCCACAACAATCATGGTGTTGCCAGCGTCCACAATCTCTGCGTCGTGGTTGCTGTAGGTGTTGTTGCTGCTGATGTTGTTGTTGTTATTGTTGTTGTTGTTGTTGTTGTTGTCATTATTGTCGCGCGCGCCTAAGCTCACGATCCCCATGTTTGTACCATGGACACAAATTTATTGTTATCGTTGGCGTGTTTGTCAATAGCGAGGACGTCATCACCTCGAGCTTGGCCCTCCCTGATCTCATCCATGAAGTCTCAGTCGAGGTGGTCATAGGCTTTCTCAAAGTCTATGAACAAGACGGTTGACCGTCGCCATCGACCTGCATCCAGGTGCTCTCCGTGCGTAGCCGACTTCCTCCTCCTCCCACGGAGCTCCCAAAGCGCTGCCCGTCGTTGAGCTGCCACATCGTCATCCATCTGCCCATTGTCGAGGCGCCAACCACCTCCTCCTCCTCGTGTGCAGCCGACCTCCTCCTCCTCCTCCTCTCGGCTTCTTCTTCACTCCTCTTCGTCCCCATTTCATCTTCTTCTTTTCTCTCCTCCTCCTCCTCCTCCTCTCGTCTTCTTCTTCCTCTCTTCTCCTCCTCCTCCTCCTCCTCATTTTGTCTTCTTCTTTTTTCTCTTTATCCTCCTCCTCCTCTCCTCCCCTCTTCTTCTTCTTCTCTCCTCCTCCTCCTCATTTTGTCTCCTTCTTTTCTCTCCTCCTCCTCCTCCTCCTCTTGTCTTCTTCTTCTTCTCTCCTCCTCATTTCTTCTTCTTTTCTTTCCTCCTCCTCCTCCTCTCGTCTTCTTCTCCTCTCCTCCTCTTCCTCCTCCTCATTTCATCTTCTTCTCTTCTCTCCTCCTCCTCCTTCTCCTCCTCTCGTCTTCTTCTTCTCTCCTCCTCCTCCTCCTCATTCCATCTTCTTCTTTTCTCTTCTCCTCCTCCCCCTCCTACTCTCGTCTTTTTTTTTCTTCCAGTCTGCCTCTTCTTTCTCCTCCTCCTTCCTCCCCTCCTCCTCCTTCCTCCCCTCCTCCTCCTTCCTCCCCTCCTCCTCCTCCTCCTCTCGTCTTCTTCTTCTTCCCCTCCCCCTCCTCCTCCTCCTCTCGTCTTCTTCTTTTCTTCCCCCCCTCCTCCTCTCGTCTTCTTCTTCTTCTTCCTCATTTCATCTTCTTCTTCTTCCTCATCCTCCTCCACCATATCCTACCGCCCGCCATCTCACACATCTGCCAGCCGTGTTGTACGGTCCGCCGTATCCCACTGCGCGCCATCTCCCATTCCTCTTTTTTTTTTTTTCTGCCCAAAAAAAAGACGGGAAGTGGGCAGACTGCAGCTCTTCTTCTTCGTTTTCTCTCCGCCTCCTCCGCCTCCTCCTCCTCCTCTCGTCTTCGTCTTCTTCTTCTCTCCTCCTCCTCCTCCACCTACTTTCGTCTTGTCCTTCTCGTCTCCTCCTCCTCCTCGTTTTCCTCCTCCATCGTCCTCTTATTATTATTATTTTTTTCCGTCATCCCCATACACTACCGGCAGGTCCTCCTCCTCCTCCTCCTCCTCCTCCTCCTCTCGTCTTCTTTTTCTTCTCTCCTCCTCTTCCTCCTACTCCTCCTTTTGTCTTGTCCTTCTCTCCTCCTCCTCCTCCTCCTCCTCCTCCTCCTCCTCTCGTCTTCTTCTTCTTCTCTCCTCCTCCTCCACCTACTTTCATCTTCTCCTTCTCTCCTTCTCTCCTTCTCTCCTTCTCTCCTCCTCCTCCTCCTTCATCATCCTCTTATTATTATTATTATTTTTCCGTCACGCCATATACTACCGGCAGGTCCTCCTCCTCCTCCTCCTCTCCTCATCTTCTTCTTCTCTCCTCCTCCTCCTCCTCTCATCTTCTTCTTCTTCTCTCCGCCTCCTCCTCCTCTCGCCTTCTTCTTCCTCCTCCTCCTCTCCTCCTCCTCCTCCTCCCCCTTTGTCCTTCTCTCCTCCTCCTCCTCCTCCCCCTTTGTCCTTCTC